TCAAGAAGAAACGTTCTTGTCTTCTCTCAATTTAGAAGAAACGTTCTTGTCTTCTCTCTATCCACAAGAAACGTTCTTGTCTTCTCTCTATCAAGAAGAAACGTTCTTGTCTTCTCTCAATTTAGAAGAAACGTTCTTGTCTTCTCTCTATCTAGAAGAAACGTTCTTGTCTTCTCTCAATTTAGAAGAAACGTTCTTGTCTTCTCCCTATCCACAAGAAACGTTCTTGTCTTCTCTCTATCAAGAAGAAACGTTCTTGTCTTCTCTCTATCTACAAGAAACGTTCTTGTCTTCTCTCTATCTACAAGAAGCGTTCTTGTCTTCTCTCTATCTATAAGAAACGTTCTTTTCTTCTCTCTATCTACAAGAAACGTTCTTGTCTTCTCTCTATCTACAAGAAACGTTCTTGTCTTCTCTCTATCTACAAGAAACGTTCTTGTCTTCTCTCTGTCTAGAAGAAGCGTTCTCACATTTTCTGTATCAAGAAGATCCTTCTAAAATGAAACCAGTTTTATATAAGTAATTTAGGACGTAATTAAATACATCTCAGTTACTTTAACTTGTTCTTTATTCCCTTGCTTAGAGTTAGGAGTACTTTTACATTTTATTTATTACCTTTATTTTATTATTGGTGTGCCAAAAGTACTCAGGCAGTAACAAGGTACTTTAGGTTCACAAATATCTATTGATAAATTTCTCTGATCACCGATTATGACCATAGTAGTTACGACTCTCGTCTCACCGAACTGCTGCGCCATTATTCACCATTTTCGTCCATCTCACACACCAGACATGAAAAATACGAATGGGGCTTTGAATTCTTTTTACAGTGGAATGGATGTTCGTTTCGTTTAATTTTTATAAAAACATATTTAAGATAAAAAAAATCTTATTTCCTTAACATTTATGAAATTTGATTTTTTTAGTGTAGACTGTATAACTCATACAACACTCTATGTTATAATATACCCTTCAAACAGTGCAGACTGTATGAATCATACAACACTCTATGTTATAATATACCCTTCAAACAGTGTAGACTGTCTAAATCATACAAAACTCAGTGTTATAAACTACCCT